ACAAGATCACACCCACCAATTTTGTAATAACATGTTTTGTCCGTTTTAAGGTTTTTCAAATTTTTGTGTTTTTGTGCTTAGTTATTGAGTTAGAGCCAATTGGTTGGGAAATCATTCAGAGCTGAAAAAATTATTGTTTTTATAACTTGTTTTGGGTCATAAGAATAAGATTGATGTGAGAAATATATGTATATTATATGTAATCTCATGTTGGGTTGTTGGGTAGGGTATTTCGGGGTTTTAAAATAGAGAAGATGTATCTTATATGGGGTTGAATATTTTGGATCTCGGATTATCGGTTTGTTCAGGAATTCATCGGATCATTTAATTTTTCACCTAGTCGAAAAAGATTCTTTTGGTTCAATTTTTGAGTGATAAATTCGAAAAACAAATACTTTCTTTACATAGAATATGCTTAATTTAAAAAAAAAAAAATCAACAAAAGTAATTATTTGGTTTGGTTACTTTAGTACGAGCTGATTTATCGATTGGTTACTTTAGTACGAGCTGGTTTATCGATTTGGTATATTACTTTAGTTTCGATGCGAATAACATACCGATCATTCTGTAACTAAGCTTCGGTTGGATCACATTCTAAACTCGTTTCGGTTTATCAAATTTTGAAGAGAAAGAACATACCGATCATTCTATAACTCAGCTTGGATCGAATAATGTAATTACAAGCAGTTCACAAGCTACATAAGAAAAGCAATATACTTTGAGCTGGAGATAAAGGCCCATATGGCCATATCTATATATTGGAAAGTACCAAAGGCCCATTAAGGCTCATAAAAAGTTCATTGAAACAGACATGTCGATCTGACGTGTCAATGTCATCCACAACAAGAGTGAAGATAAGTTTAAAATCAGTTATAAAATACACAGTCTGTAAGAAAAAACCGCTTAACATTTGAAATTCAAAACAAAAAAAACAATACATGGCGAGTTCAGGCAAGGATAAGGTTGTGTTGGAGGAGCATCGCTCGTTCGCTAGAATCGGATTTCTAGGAAACCCTAGCGACGTTTACTTTGGCCGTACGATTTCCTTCACCATCGGTAATTTCTGGGCCTCGGCTAAGCTCGAACCATCAGATCATCTCTTGATCAAACCTCATCCATTTCATGATCTTGTCCAGTTCCCATCTCTCGACAATCTCTCGTACGTGCTCTGGTCTGAATTTTTCTTCGTTTTCTTGCTCTGCATTGGTTCGTGTTCTGTTCTTAAGGTTTTGTTTGGTTGGTGGAGAATCTTCTCTGTTTTGATGCTAAACGAATATAACAAAACAACTGAAATCACTAACACACAGTGTTCTAAAACGCAGGCTAGGCCGGTGCCTAGGCGGCGTCCAGGTGCTACGCGGACGCCGGGCGCTCCGATTTTAGGTTATTCGGTGATTTATGCGGTTCTTAAAAATACGGATGTTTATGCGGTCTAGACGGGCGTTTATGCGGTTTAGGCGGACAATTACGCGGTCTAGGCGGATATTAAGCGGCCATATAAATTTTTTTTTTTAAGAATCACAATTTTTTTATTATATTATAAAATAAAATTGTATATCATAATAAATATTTCTTTTTAGCCTCTAAGGATTAAGTCTATTAGTTAAATTCATTTTGAAAATAAATGTAGACATTATATCTTTTATATTTGTATATATTTTGTAAGATTTATAATTTACATTTTAAGGTTATATACTTATATGTATATTTAAAATAAACTACATGTTCTTCTACATAATAATTTATTAAATTTAATATTTGAGACTTCTCGTTTCTAAATATAAAATATATTCATGTTTTATTCATTGTATATACAATATATTGTATATATATATATATGTATATATATATCTAAAAAATAATTATCCGTCTAGGCTCCGTCTATACTCCCGCGTATACGGCTAGGCGCTAGGCCTCCTTTCGCCAGCGCCTAACGCGTTTTAGAACACTGCTAATACATTTGCAAAGTTATAACTGATTTGTCTTACCTTTTAAGGTTTATCGGTTGCAAAATGAAGGATCTAGAAGATCTTATAATATCATCGTTATTATGAAAATATAATTATATTGATTTGTGTATATCTTTATGTGATTACATTAATTAGATATTAGGTTTAACGTTTCCTATATAAGTGTAACGACCTTGTACATTCATCCTTATGAGAGTAAATATAATATTCTTCCAATCCTAAATTCTCATCACATCTAATATAAGGTTGGTAATGGCGATTTGTAAAGTATTCCGCAACTATTGCAAAGATAATGGTATACAACTTCATGAAAGAAACTTCACTCTATCTTATGATACCAATATCCCAAGACTGGTTGTTGTTACAAACTTTTACTTTTCTTTCTGGTAAATTTTGAATTTCAGTTTTTGATATAGATGTGACTATAAAGCCATTAGTTTTTCGATGTTTTTGTTTTTTCAGACGGGGTCATGGGGCTTTCGGGTTCTAGTGCAATTGTGTCTGCTGCTCTTAGCTGCCTACTTGACTTCTACAATGTTAGGCAACAAATCAAAATAGAAGTCCGACCTAACCTTATTCTTAATGCGGAGAAAGAACTTGGTATCGTTGCAGGTCTTCAAGACCGTGTTGCGCAGGTCTATGGTGGTGGTCTTGTTCACATGGTGGGATGATCTTTGCAACTTTTCTTAGCACTTGACATGGGAAATTTCGTCGACTCGCTTGTGTTTTGATCTTGCAGGATTTTAGTAAAGAGCATATGGATAAAGTAGGATATGGGATTTATACTATAATGGATATCAATCTTCTTCCTCCTCTGCATCTCATTTATGCTGAGAATCCTAGTGACTCTGGGAAGGTTAGAGAGATATTCACTTCTCTGTTTTCTGGTTTCATTACTTTCATTTTTGAGCATTTGGTTATGTTTTGATGCAGATACATAGCTCGGTTCGTAGAAGATGGTTAGATGGTGATGAGTTTATAATATCATCAATGTCAGAAATTGCAAAACTAGCAGAAGAAGGCCGAACTGCATTACATAAAAAAATAAAAAAGATTACTCAAAACTCAAGGAACTCATGAACCGTAATTTCTTTTTTTTTTTTACTTAGCAAAAAA